GTTTCTGGTTGATCGGACTTAATGGGCAAAATAAAATTACCTGGTGATAATCAGATGATGAAGAAATTATTTATTTTAACTTAATTAATTTGTTATACAAACCATTTTTATTTCTGATTTACAGTATTAGAAAGTTTATGTTTGAGTTTTGGTGATTTTGTTTTGTATGTATTAATTTTAAATGGATTAAAGATCAGTGTGCTCTAAAGGTTCTTTTAGATAATCCAAAGTCAAGTGTAAAATTAAGATGTTACTCACTATTTAGTTCTTGGTTTCTAAAAGAACCTTTAGAACACACTTATCGATTGGATCAAATGAATTTATTCAATAATTTGGAACAAAGGTTCGCTTTTATTGAGGCATCATTTCATATTGATAGGCCTACTTTGATGAGGGCGCGCGTGTGTTGAATGGGGTGAGGGTGGCCATGGCCTTGTAAATTGCTTGAGTGACGTTCACCCTACCAAAGAATACGTATATTCTTTGATCCTACTTGGTGTCATGGAGAAGCGTCCTCGTCGTGGCCCTTGTAACACCAATTTCACCACCACCACCACAAGGTGTAGGGCCTACTTGTACTACCTTTGTCATCATGCCTAGACGAGACCAGAGCGGGTCCTTGTGAGGGCCCGCCCTTACAGTCATATCTGCAAACGTCGAAAGTTTCTGTGGACACGATAAAAAGAAGATCCTACTGCAGTAGAACCCCTGTTAAGGGGACAACTTCGGGGCCAAAAAAGTGTCCCCTTAATAGGGGTGTCTCCTTAATAGGGGTGTCCCCTGATTCAGGGGATACTAATCAAAAACCTAAAATTGTCCCCTCAGTAGGGGTTTTTGGCATGTTTTCATATAACGATGATACATTTTTTATAATTTTATTCTTATTGACATAGAATCAGTTACAGTAGAATAAGAATTAATTTATAGCAATAATTTGCAATGCAAATACAATTTATTTATAATATGAAATCAGCAGAAATGTAAATAAAACAACAATAGTTAAATATGTTCCCAATATTGTTTCATTATGCAATGTTAATGACCAAATATTCTTGTTTTTTTAATATTGAGCTTTCTATTAAATGATCAAATAATTTCATATGGTTTGGAATATTATTATTATTATTATTATTATTATTATTATTATTGTATAATGAATACAAATAATAATGAATAATGAATAGCTATAATGTGATTAATATGTGTGTAATGTATATGTGAAATATCATGAAAAGGTAAACAAACACTGTTTTATTTACAAAATAACAACAATCACATTATAGCTTTCTATTAGATGGATGTAGCATGAATAGAATAGGCCCTAATATGTAAACTAGATTAAACAAAATTGACTTTTTGTGTTTTTCATGTATATTTTGATATTTATAAATCATAATAACATTTTAATGTAAAGTTTTATGGTATTAAATTTCATTGTTAATGTCCATTTTTATAATGACAACAATAATTATTTTGCATTTTAATGTAACTTTTTTATATGTTTTATTGCCTCCCTTTTGTAATTGTGACTTGCAATTTGGCCACTGGCCACGATCTGTTACAAATGAGGAATTTGAATTTTGAATAAAGTGAAATGCATATAAAATGTTTTGATGTGGATTAAAATCCTATCTATATGAAATACACGAAAATAACATAACAACATTACGTTATAAGAACGTTATAATAACGTTACAATTTGGTGATAAAAACGTTATTTTGTAGAATGTACGTACTTAAGATATTGTTATCGTTATTTTGTTTTAGTATTGTATATCTTATATTTCATGTTAACTTAATTGTGGACGCACCTTTATAATGTAAAGTGTGCCACTGTTTCAAAGGTGTAGTTTCCTAATAAATTATTATTAGAGGGCCTATTAGTAATCTGAGCCTAATCCAAGTCGTAGACCTCTCAGAATTCAGAAAGGTGCAGTTTCCGAGCATGAAACAATTCATCCGATCCGAACAACCTTCCTCACTAACAAATTGATTCATAACAATGGCGGAAATAAGTGACAAAAGAGTACAAAATTAAAGTTACTGTATATCTTCTTTCAAGGATGTGAAATTGATTCAACCTTGGAAGCTTCACTTTTGTATCTACTACCACCAATGTTGTAGCATCTAACCTTATATCATATAAACTCCTTCCCCGTTTCCAACGTATTTGTGAATAAGTTTCAGAGGGAGTACAGCCACATAATATAATTTCTCATAATATTACCCTGAACTCTAACCAGGGAACGCACGGTGAGGCTTGGCCCTTCAATCAGAAAGAGGGTCTAAATTGCCTGAAAATCGAGTCATTAAGACGATTCTGTTTATGTTACAGCTTGGGAGATCCAAGTCTTAATTGTAAGTACAGGTTTTAAGTGAAGATATAGTTTATTATAAATTATTTAAGATATTTTGACTGCAAAATCATTGGGTGGGGAAGTGGAATGAACGAATGAGCTCTGCTTGTGTAGATGTTGCTCCACACGGCGGCAGCGGACGATGCGGCTAGCCTATTGCTAGTAGAATTTTACTTCCGGTACTGCTTTGTCCAGAAATAGGCCTAGCATTGCATATTTTATTCAAAACTTAATAAATACATTATCTACTTAAATTAATATTTCCCTAGAATATATTTTACCATGGAATAGATTTTCAGTTTTCGATTTTTTGTTGGATAGAATGGTAAAATTTGCGATGTCGCTAGGCCTAGCTACAGTAGGCCTAGGCCTAGAGAGGGGCCTAGGCTAGCTAGACCAGGGGCCACATTTATCAAACTAGAAACCAGTTTAAATTTGTCTTAAGTCCATTTTTTGCCTAAGTCAAATTTATCCATATTGCTTAGCTTAAAAATTGCTTAAAATTAGAAAGTCGATTGTACGTTGGCACCATCTACTCTAGGCCTAGGGCCTAGGCCTAAGTCTAAGACTATTTTTAAGCCAAGATTTTGCTAAGATTGGGTAATAAATCAGCTTAAAAGATATTATACTATATGGACATCTTAACTTTTTTGACTTAAGACATTTGCTAAGCTGATATTGATAAATGCCGGGCCAGGACCCTAGCCTACCCTATGCCTTCTCCTAGCCCGGGTGGAGGCTTAGCGTAGTACCTGTAGGCCTATATCACTAGGCCTTGGCCAACAAAAGTCAATAGCCTATATACCGGTAGGCCTGGCCTAGCTTAATGGAACTGCTCTAGGCCTAGCCAACAGACAGTAGACCAACAAGATCCACAAGAGAAGAGAAGGCATTTAGTTTAGTTTTAGACCATGGGAATGAAAGTTCTATATTTGCGTCCGAAAAATATTGATAACACATGAGGCATTTATCATTATACATTATTTAAAAAAATGCTGTACACAAGCTGTGGCATTTGCAATTTTACATTACTGTATTCCAAAGAAACACAATGCATACATAAGGCGTTCGACTGGTCCTTTTCCGAGGAGTGATTTACTACTCGGAGTGTGCTCGTTAAAAAACAGGAAGGAGTTCGAGCCGCTCTTGTGAGGAGTTCGTGCTGCCCATGCGACCAGTCGAATACGACATGTGCAGTTTGAGTAGAAAGACCAGTCGAATGCCTATAGTATTCCCAAAAAACACAATGCATACATAGGCCGCCTACAATCAGTCATAAATATACACTACTGTATAAGACAGATGTTTTATTAAAGAAATAGAGATCAAAAAGTATAGAAACAAAGATAGAACAGTTAACGATATAGAGAGCATTTTACCTCCATCCACGCGGCGACGCTACAGTATATCTTATAATCAAGAGCACCACCGCTCGAAGTTTGTTCAGTCAGTTCGATTTAACCCGTAAATGACTTCAGCAGGGATTGGCAATCATGGTGCTATGCCCTGCTTCGGGTGTTCACAACGAGTGAGCAGATGTGATGGAGTAGGTCCTAGATCGTTTTTCTGTTTGTGTGTGACTTAGAAAATGCATTTTAAAAAATGAAATATTTTTTTCTCAAAATAATGAATTTTTTAAAATAATGACAATTTTTTGTGCGGTAGCTTTTTAGGCATGCGGTGGACGTAAATGATTCCCTAAGAAAAATGAAAAGCAGAGCACTAAAAAGGCAATTCAAATTTTTAAAAAAAAGACGGAAAAAGAACAAAACTAATCAGTATGTTGATGAAAGAAGAATGTCTTGAGACGGGATTTAAAGGAACTAACCGAAAGAGCAGTTAGAACATCCAGGAGAAGTTTATTCCATAGATCAGTATTCAGACGACCTGCAGCCAAGTTGCTTGAGGGAAGGGCGAGTTGTCGCCCAAGCTACTAGGGCGTAGGCTGCGTACAAGTTCGGACGCGATCTGTGAGACATATTTTGTATCGTATGTTTTCAGTAAATGTTTTCATATTGGATGAAAATAAATGTCGTAATACTGATAACTATAATATAAATATGTGAATTGACATAGTAATAAAAAGATTGGTAAGGCAAACAAGATGTTTTATTTATGTCAGGTCACCAGGAGAAGCCTAGGCCAACTCCACTTTTGACTGGTAGAATATTAAGCCTATTTATTCTTCCCTTACCCAATCTCCTACCACTCCATGATGCCTTAAAGCTAGCTAAAATTTTGCACGAAAAATATCTAGGAAACTAGTGCGCAGAATAGTAACTACTGCTTAATGCATTGGTTGTATATGAATTGGGAGGACGGATTTCTAGGTCTAAATTTTGTACAGACGATATTCCCCATGCAGGCCATAGTATACATTTCTGGGCCTACTGTAGCCTAAGCCTGAGATAACACAGATTCAAAAGAACTCTAGTACTTGGTATACTGCAACCCAGGCCACATCTTATAGTATTTTGTACAGGGTATACATCAAAATCTAAATAGAATTTGTGCAAAGATTGCTAGGAAGCTAGCTTTAAGGTATTACAACAACAGTTATCAAATGACGTTAGTTTTGTACATGAAATCTTGACCGGGAAAGCCGCTGGAGCATTTAAAATAACTAGGCTCCTCTGAAAATCCCTGCAGCGATGGCTAACACGAAACTTAACAGCGAACAGTGTGCCGTGCTTCGGCGGTCGTACGGAATGAATGATACAAGTAAAATAACAACATTAAATGAGAAAGCAGACATTGATCTTTCTTTTAATTTAAATTTTATTGAAAACAATTAAGAATAATGGTAAGAAAAATAAAATTGAAAAAGAGCAATTTTCAATAATATAACCTCATTTCCAACAGTAAGCACGCGGCTGTTGGCATACCTACTAAAAGCGAAATGAATAAGAATAGTAAGATCCATGGTTACAGTGGCTATATCGTGGGAAACAAACATCGCTTGTACAACTACGCCCTGCTTTTACACATCAATTCTACCAAGCTGTCCCTACATTCCGCAGCCCTCTGCTACATTCAATAGGGAAACAGTAGTAGTTGATGCCTCTACGCAAGGCTTTATTTAGTCAGAGAAAATTATTCCGGCTAACACTTTAAACTGTTATTTAACCACCAGTAGGCTTACCAGCGCTTCGTACAGTTAGCGCTATTTAGGCTAGAGAGACTTAGTGATATTATAAACTTACCGCAATGTATTACACACGGTAAAATGATTAAAGATCTTGAAATCATTGCAACAAGTAAAACAAAACATGCATGTTTACTCAACGTCGTAAGACTGAGCATGCTGTACTAAAACGACATTCGTGGAAAACGGTCTTAAACTTTGACATCAATTTTTTAACTAGCCTGGCTATGTCAAAATTATGTTGCATGACAAGATATTTTCCAGCTTACCCCCACTGGAGAAATCGTGTCAAATTTCCCCTACAGTATGAGGGGTACCCCAAGGGTGTTTCACGGTTTTTGGCCAGGGCAGCGCATTCCTGTGATAGATGCCAATTTTAGCGGCCGTTCTGTTCCCAGTATGGGGAATCCCCACTTTTACGTACTTGGCGGTCATGAACTTTACCCTGGAATATGTAAATAAAAACCATCCATACACTGCATTTAAAATGGTTCACTGTACTATACAATCTGCAATTATTACTTGTGCTAGAGGTGTGCCTGGGCTTGCAAACTTCATTATTTACAGTAAAGTACTTCATATATAGTAAAGACGGAACCAAAGTTATGATAAAAAACAATAGTCTAGGCATCGTTAGTTTGACAAGTCGGGGCATTTTCGGCTAAACCCTAGACTGCCTGTACCAATTTGCAGACAGACAACTCGTGTTTTCAAACAAACTACGTTGCTCTCATGCCAAGCTACGAATCACATGACTGTGTTTTTAAGGTACAGCGAAGCAAGCACCTGCCGAACAACATTCTGACTGGTGCGAGAATCCATTGTCGCGTTATTAATAACTATTGTCAATTGGGAAAAGAACTTGTATTTGTGCGGGATTTTTAGGGTAGGCAGAAGGATTTGTATGAGGCTGGGCGAAAGACCTTAAAAATGGCTTTGGGATAGGCGCAAGACGTCAAGGTTGGGCGCTCCCGCCCACCTCCGTCCTGCATAACGACATCCCTGCAATATGATAGTCTTTGTTTCTAGATAATAATTATCTAATAAATGTTTTTACTCAGAATTTTGCTAAAGTTAACCAGTCATTCATTTTTAGGGCTATTAATTTACAAAAAGAGCTAAATGTCTCACATTTGCATTGAAATCACTGCCATATTTGCAACTGTTTCATCTCAATTGAATAATTACATCAAAAATATGAGGAATATTTGAAAGAAATTTTTGTATTAAAAATAAATACCAAACTTCAAATTACAATCTGTCTGACTGGACAAATGCATGGTTCATGATATCAGAATCACAATTCCATCTCCACTAAAATGCATAATGTTCTGCACACACTTGTTCATTTGAATAATGAATAAAGAAAATGAATTGATACTTACACAATATAATATCATGCTGACTAGTGGCATATCTAGGAGGTGCACAGAAACCCCCTCCCCTTCCCCTACAGTAGTCACCTCCACGGGAAACAAATTACACTAAAGAAGTTATAAAAATCATCTCATACCACCATATTTTGCTACCTAATACCTCCTTACGTTATCATTAATCTTTCCCACTTCAATTTTGTGCCCCATCAGTCCCCCCCCCCCAGCTACAAGTGAAATCTTATTAGCCTTGTTTGGGGTGATTCTCAATATGTAAAAATAAAGGGTTTATGGAACTTCAAAACAGATTAATTTTTTTTTTAGATGATGTTTATCAAAGCTTGAAAGTAAAAACCGCTGAAGAAACAACATGGCCACGAATGCCGAGTCTGTAAAGCTAGTCCGGGCCCGGTTCCCGTACAAAGGCGCTAGCACAGATGAATTGACTTTCAACAAGGGTGACATTATTATGGTCACGCAACACGTGGAGGGTGGATGGTGGGAAGGCACACTGAACAGCAAGACAGGCTGGTTTCCTAGCAACTATGTCAAAGAAATCCCATCTGCTGGGGGTAAGTGTTAATGTTATTCTCAACTTGAGTCAGATGCGCATTCATGAAGGGGGTAGTGGATATGAATGCGCATGTCCCCACGCTGAAAAATAAGAAAAAAAATTATTACTATATATACATTCACACAAAGTTTTTCCCTTTCTTCTGTGAATATACTGATCTTCAATCAAAGATCATGTTCTATGCATTGGTAGTAATTTTTCTCACAGAGCTTTCAATAGAATAAAGGAAGCAAGAGCAACATTCGGGGAACTGGGCCAACAGCCTTCGGAGTACTAAGTACTGTAATTTGATGCTCAATTAACAAAGCTAGGTCGCCCAAGTTAAGATTGTTCTCAGGCTAATACTTTGCTCCTTGGTCAGAAGAGAACCTCATCTCATACTTCAGTCTTCTCAGATAAAGGACTATAAACCTTACAATAGGCGTAGTGTACAGTTCTAGTACCCAAAACATCTTTCAAGAAGAGTAGGGGTTACCCTATTGTTCTGTTCCAGCCCCTGCTGCGAACATGACAAAAGCACCTATGGGCATCACCTGACATGATAAGATACTTTAGGAAGTAGCAAGTTGCAGGAATTAAAGTTTGTGCTTAGAAGTGCAAAGAGACCCATGTACTCTATGCGCTGTCAGTAAAACACCTTTCTGTTTATATTGACAAAGGACAAGGCAGTTGGATGGATACTGTATGGTCCCTAGCAAGTCAAACAGAATACAGACCTCCAGTTATAATTTTTTCACAGTAAACTTAATTTTGTTTTATTGTTTATTGTATAAAACAGTATTAATTTACATGTTTAATTGCAGTTTAGACTGAATACAGTGATATCACAAAAATTGGTGACTCATGAATGTTATTCTCAATCATGTATAACGAGTCACAATGATGTTTTAAACATTATTATTATTATTATTAGCCTATTATTATTATTATTATTATTATTATTAAAAATAATAATTTTTTTTTGTACGGAGAGTTACAAATCATTCAAAATTGGGAATTTTGTGTAGGTTTACAGTTTACTGTGCAGTATATACTGCATGCCTTCCAAGCATTGTAATCGGCCTTACCTGTACTGTACGTATATTAAATACAGTATATCAAAAACTACCATCAAACAATAAACATAAATTCATTGCATTCAATACTGGATTATGGGAAAAAATGTTTATAAAATAATGCATATTAAAATTATGATCATTAAAATTTTGAGACAAGCATAAAATGCACATTACAGTATTTATAGTTTATACTAGTTTTATACACATTCAAATATATTAAAAAAGCAATAAATAATCGAAGAATTTTCAACGAAAATATTTACACTTATTTGCTAATAAAAGAATATAAACGTACATAAGATGCATCATTAGCAGAATATATTACTCTACCAATGCCAATATTCAGGAAATTTTGTCACAAACCAGGAAGTTTGTTTTTCCTAATGAATTTTAACCTTTGACATATAAATTTATAATAGTTGCAAAGTGTATTAAAGGTATGGAACTTCTTATAATTATATCCTGAAAGTATTCCAATGTCTGTACTCTTTCTACAAATACTGTAATTATTCTTTGTCCATATTTCTATGTTCCTTGTTGTTATCTTGGATGGAAGTCTTTTTCTCATTTGAATTTTTGAAATTTTAATTCCACATTTGAATTGTTTAATTTGCATATTGAAATAAGTTAACTTAAAATTAAACATTTGGATTTTAAGAAAATTAACCCATCAATTTTTAGACTGCTAACTTGTATTTTTTACCTCTAGATCCTTTAATTGCCTGGTTGGTAATCAATTTAAGAACTTTCGTAGTTTTTGACTGATAGATCTTTAATTTTAATTTTCTGTACAAGGAAATTTTTAAACTCTCACTTATAGGCCTAGTAGTAGTCTCTTGTTTTCAGATTGGTGTCCATGGTGTTGGCTATAATCACAGCAATGTGATTTATCACGTGTAGTGTTGGTGTTGCTACTCCTAATGGAGTGCGTAAGCTTCTGTATCGGCAAACAACAACATATGTCAAATATCGTAGCCTTATAAAAGCTATTTTAGAATCAGTAGTGCTATGGTGATTGCAGTTAAAGCTAAAAATGACTTGTCTTAATATTCAGGATAGAAATGTCTTGCTTGTGTTTGAGATCCTCCAAAGGTTTCTGCAATTCTGTTGTATTATTTGGCTGAGAATACTGAGGTTCAAATTTTGTGACAAATAAATGTGATGCCCATATTTGGGTAATTTGACATCATCACACATATTAGTCTGATAGTTTGGACAGAGCAAGACTTGTCTAAAACTGATTCACACAAGGACCCAGAAATCGTGTACATCACATGCGACGTTGAAAGCTAAGCTGTGCCCCATTTCGTATGCCCACAGATTCATGCTAAATATCTTCGGAGCGTTAAGTAGGGCAGGGTACTCACTTCACCCAATGGTCATCGGCCGACATGATTCTATGGCGAATGCAGCGCCATGACGCAGTGACTCGGTAGCTTTGCAGACCTGTGATATCTGTTATTCTGTTAAGTGATATTACACAAGATTCTTGCTTTTGTTACACGTATGTACATTTCAAAAAAAGGACGTAGCTGGAGATGCTTGCTATAGCCTTTTGCTGTGATTGCAATATTTTATTGTGAAAAAAAACTAGTTCTACTTATATAGTAGAAAAAAGCTTCTACTGTATGCGCTAAAAAAAAAACAGGTAAAAATTAAAAAAATAACTATAAGAGTTCACTAATTTGACCTCATAAAAGTGCTAACATACAATCGTAATAATAAACTTTTTGTAAATGCAGCTTGAAAATCAAACTAATTTTTCAACTACTCTATTAAATTTTCATAGCGACCATTAATTATGTAGGTCAATACATAGACTGCATTTTGAGCGTTGATGCAATCCTGCGTGTGTATGCTTCATGTAGGTATCTGTCAAAGTAGGTGTATATTGAGTGACAAGTGTAAGCTCTTTAAAATGTTTTCCGCTCAGCAATATTTATGTTGCTGTGATGAAAAACATCTCGCATAGATACATGTTCCATCGTTGTACAGGAAAACATTTCAAATGGTAGAATTTAGCTTTTATAATTTTGTGTTTAAATGTTTATAGTATCTCTCAAAAATTCTATCGGATTTGCTGGGAAGGAGTGAAAATTTTAAGGAATGACATTTTCTCTGAAACTAAAAATTTGTTTAAATTTGTTAGGAAAAGTGATGGTCATGAGTTCTTTAGGAACTACAGTACAGCGAATGAATTCTCTGCATTAATTTTTTAATGTCTTTAAACCCATGCTACAACTAATTCAATTAGAATGTAATTTTAGTATTATTAGAATAAGTTCAACCTTTATTAATTTGGTTGATATCAAATGCGCATGAAATAGATACGTGCAATATTTTCACCGTCTGTCCTAATATTGCTGCCTTAACAGAATCGGTTATAGAAATCAATAATTTACGAGGACTCTGATTACCATGGGCATATCGTCTAATAACTAATAATTTTGATGAACAAAGATTGGACTTATTAATTGCACATAGGAATAATCGGGTTGTAGGGAAACATTATGAGAATTATTTAATCTACCGTACTGTAGTTGTAAATCAAAGTATGCAAGCTTTACTGTAGTGCTCTATTTTGCCCTTAAGTAATTGATGCAATGTCGATCTAGGTATGACACTGGCTACTTTGCAATATAGATTTTTTAAAATTATTTTTCTGGTTTACGTAGATAGCTCTGTACCTGACTACTTACCATGTTACTCATTCTAAGTATTAATGTTCAGTTTTCTCATATCTATCCTTTCTTTCTTCAAACAGGTTGTTAGTATTGTTTGTTTTTTTTTGTTTATTTTTGCGTTTTGTTGTTGTTGGTCCTATTGTTGCTGCCGCTGCTATTGTTGCTGTTATCTTCATTATCTTCATTTTCAATTTCATCTTAATTATTCTAGCTAGGGGTGTTTAATGTGTTATATTATTTCTGTTACTGTGCTGTTGTATTATTTATTTTTATTATTAATATACTATTCCTCCAGTTATTTTGGATAATTAATATTAAAATAATATTATTGTTTAAAAGTTATATTATAATTATAAACAAAATATTGTAACTATATTTGTTGTTACTATATTTTCATCATTGTTGTCACAAAGTGTTAAATAGTAGAAAATTTGTAATCCATGAGAAGTATACTGTATAAAAACAAATAAATAAATGCTTAATTATCCTGACTGAATGTAAGAATTACTGTATTCATTCAAAATGGAAATATATAACATTTTTATTCTCATTATTGTGAAAGAGAAGATAACATTGATTGATGTCAGTACAGTAATGATAATATCTTCATCATCATCATCGCTTTAGGGCATTTTTGGTTGCACAGTATTAACATTTCCCTTGTGTCATTAAAGGTCGTTAAAAGGTCATGAGGTACCGTCTCTGATCTTGCTTCATAATTCCATGATTTTTTTTCCTTCTGCATACGCCACCACAGTACCAGGTTATATTCCTTAAAATATTTTTAATGAATTGAATCTTTGGTAAACTTCTGAATCTGTAAAACCATGTCTAAATTGTATTACTGTAATTACAAACACACACTTGACTATCTAGGTTCTTCAAGCTGGTACATTATCCCCCTACACAATTGATTAAATATGGGACTAATTTTTAGAGAAGGTACATCAATTTTTCCACCCTAGTGAGTTTTAAATGTCATCCATTCTTTATCTCCTCTTGAAAGGATCAGTCTCGCGTCTCACAATTTTAGTGCACCTTCATTCAATAGTTTAAAGGATCAGTCTTGCATCTCACAATTTTAGTGCACCTTCATTCAATAGTTTAAAGGATCAGTCTTGCATCTCACAATTTTAGTGCACCTTTTTTTTATTCTTTAAGTAATGTAATTCAATTTTCAAAGTGTAAATATTTTATTCATTACCTCAGTTGTGTATTTACTGTAGTAGTTAATATTTTACTAAGAACATTGATCT